CTCACTTCTCCGACTTTTACATTTTCAATAGGCTCATTGTCTTCATTATGGTATACTTTTGAGCCAGTTAGCTCCTGTTCTTCTTGTATGGAAATTTCTCGGGGTAATGGTTTAAAAACGTCACTCAAATACTCTGCAAACAATTTAGATTTTTCAAATTCATTCCTGGCCCACTTTCCGTCGGGTTTTCTAATTGGTGGTATATGTTGTTGCGGGCGTTTGAATTTTTTGGTAGCTTTCCAAAGAGAGTAATCACTTGCATGATTAGGTGTTAAACTTTCAAGATACTTTTGTGTAGATAGATTTTTATCTTCTATTATTAAGTCTTTCAATTCCTTAATTATTTTATTTAATTTAGTTTTAATAAATTTGCATCTAGTATTCTGCCAGTTTTTTCTCAGTTGTCGTTTTTCGCGTATTTTATCCAGCAGTCTTTTCGAGATACTTGGAAGTTTTTTCTGATCGTGAGTTGTAGGGGTGGCTACTTTGGCAGCGTTGAGTATTTGAAGGTTAAACTCGTCTATTGCCTTTTCTAGTTCTTCGATAGTTTTTAGTGAAATATTGCAAGACAGGTTATGGTTTAAGAGTTCTTTGTACTTAGCCCAGTCTGTTTTTTTATTAGTTAAATGAAGCATTTTAGGTTGAATTAAGATGTGAGCGTTAAAAGAAATAATTATGGGTGAATGATCTGAATTCAGGTCAAGGCATGACTCAGCTATGAGACGCTCCGGACATATACCTTTTACCACGGCAAAGTCGAGTAGGTCCGGTGTTTTATTTAAATCAGAAGGCCAGTAAGTTGGTTCTCCGGTTGAAATTGGGAATAGATTTCTTGATTGCATTGCTGCAAACAGTTGTCTTCCTCGCGACGTCGGGGTTGTTGATCTGGATCCCCACCAGGGATGTTTGGCGTTATAATCACCTGCGGCGATGAAGCGATGACCACATTTATCGAAGTATGCAGTAAAATTTTCAGTTTTAATGGAATGCTTAGGGGGACAGTATATTGCTGCTAGGGTTAGAGGTCCATGGGTGTCTTCCAAAGTGATGCTGGTTGCTTGTAGAAAATCTTCTATATTTTTCTCGTTTTCGTAGTGTTTGAAATTTGACTTTATTATTATGGCTGTTCCGCCGTGAGCTTTCCCGTCAGGGTGTTTAGTATCATAAAAGCAATAATTAGGAATTTTAAAATAATTTTTATCCGTGAAATGTGTCTCTGAAATAAGCATAATATCAATATTATGTACTTTGAGAAAGTTTGCTAGTTCAAGTCTACGTTGGGCTAGTCCGTTCGCGTTCCAGATGGCTATTTTTATTTTGCTATTGAATTTGAATTTTATTTATTAAGCTTGTCAACAAGTTCAACATTGTGTCCATTCGAGTCATTAATTGTAACATCATTTCTTCTAATCTATTTGTATTTAAACTTTCAGTAGTGTTTGTTTTAGATTGAATTTCTGGTAGTGTTTGTAAACAGTTGATTTCTTGCGGCTGTTGTTGTTGTTGATTACTCGTAGCGTGAGCAAACGATAAATTAGGCTTGATTAAACTTTTGTTCGTCATATTGTTTTGTATGTTTTGGGTTGTTATTTTTTCTCTTAATTTGGGATAAAGTTTTTGTTGCAATTGCTTTCGCACTGAGCATCCTTTATAGCTTGCCGGATGATTACCTCCACAATTGGCACATTTAACCTCTTTGACTTTTTCCTTAATCGGGCAATCTTTGGTCATATGACTTTCGGCACATTTTACACAAGTTGGA